AGACAGGATCTCACTCTGTCACCCAGGCTGGAATGAAGTGGCACAATCTCAACTCACTGCAACCTCCGCCTCCCGGGTTCAAGCGATTCTCGTGTCTCAGCCTTCTGAGTAGCTGGGATTACATGCATGTGCCACCATGCCTGGCCGACTATGTCATTGTAAGCCATTTCCTTTTCAGTTTGAGGACAGGATCATCCACATAATGGGTGCTCCACAAGAATTTATTGAAAGTTAACCTAATGTCTTTTATTTTCAGCACAATATTTAACAGTACTGAATTTCATATCTTTGTGAATAAAAAAAGTAGTCTGTAGATGACAGTACTGCTGAGTATAGTTGCCAAATAGCCCAGTCTAAAAAAACTATTAATTAATTGTTCAGTGTAGCCTAGATGAAGGTTTTACTGGTATTGTGCTGAACTTAGCTCTTTCCCAATAAACATTTTTAATAATGATATTGAATAAAAATACTGACGTCACAATTAGATTTTTCTGGAAAGTATCTTAATATCTAATAGGTAGATAATTAAAACCAAGCTTTAAGATGATTTTAACAGGTTAGAAATTTGGGCAGAAATCCACAGGGTATAAATTTGAAAGGATGTATCTTATATCCTGTGTTTGGGTTGTACAATAAGCAAATACGTGCAGTAAAGATCTCAAATTATCAGATCATTGCAAACTTAATATGAGCTTATAGCTATGGCATAGACTTTGGTTATATTAATTATATAGACTTTGGTTATATTAATAAACTTGATGATGGGGAATTGTAGCATTCCTGTTGTGTGTTGGTCACTCAACATTTGGAAATCAGTTTTGGATGTAATCAAGTTTTATGAGGAGTTTGACAAACTAGTGTTTTTAGAGAATGGTATGATAGATTTCTTAGAAACCAAGTAACTTGTAAGGAGTGCTTGGCAGAATTGGTAATTGGATTAATCAAGGGGGGGAATTAATTGCAGTATTTTAGAATAAATAGTTTTTACTGTTATATAGAAGAAGCAACTACTAGTTTGGTATTTCTCTAGCACAAGGGTGGCAAACTATAGTCTAATCTCACTGACTGTTTTTGTAAATAAAATGTTAGAATGCAGTCATAACTATTTGTTTACGTTATGACTGCTTTCATTGTAATAGCATAGTTGAGTGATTGTGACAGAGACCATATGGCCTGCAAACCTAAACTATTTACTGTCTGGCCCTTTATAGAAAATGTTTACCAATTCTTTTTGTAGAAGCTACCAAGACCTATTGGTACAAGTTGTAGGAAAGCTGGCAGTAGAGCAGTGTGAGACTTTTGTTTATTATTTTTTCTTTTTATAAGAGATGGGGTCTTGCCATGTTGTCAAGGCTGTTCTCAAACTCCTGAGCTCAAGCAATCCTCCTGCCTTGGCCTCCCAAAGTGCTGAAATTATAGGCATGAGCCACCATCCTTGGCCTTACTTATTTTTAAATAGAGTTATCAGTCCTGGAATGGACATTTTGTATAAGGGACTGGAACTTTTGTCTTTCATTGGATTTTTTTCAAGGTGAGAAGTTGGGAGTAGATGATTTTCATATCAAGATTTAAGGTGGAAAAAGTAACCCAGATCAAGTAATTATTTTTCCTGTTTTAAAAATATATATATGTATTCATGTTTGATTATGCTATCCTTTTGAATATTATTGTTAATTTTATTATATTCATTAATAGTACATTATGAATGCACTATTATTCTCATGTAAGAGAATGTCCTTATTTTCGGGAGATGCATGCTGAGATATTTTAAGCATGCAGTGGAATTGTATTTGCAACTCATTCTTAGATGAGCAGAGAATAAGTATATACACATGTATATATACATGACATAAATATGGCAAAATTCATTGAATATACTTCCCCATTTATATAAAAGCATTTTGATCAGCCAGGTGTGGTGGTCACGCTTGTAATCCTAGCACTTTGGGAAGCTGAGGTGGGTGGATCACCTGAGGTCAGGAGTTTGAGACCAGCCTGACCAACATGGTGAAACCCAGTCTCTACTAAAAATACAGAAATATCCATGTGTGGTGGCAGGTGCCTGTAGTCCCAGCTACTCAGGAGGCTGAACCAGGAGAATTGTTTCAACCTGGGAGGCGGAGGTTGCAGTGAGCCGAGATTGTGCCACTGCACTCCAGCCTGGGTGACAGAGCGAGACTCCATCTCAAAAAAAATAAAAATGAAAAAACAGTGGTACTATTGAACAATTTATAATTTTCAGCCACTTTCAATTAATAGTTCTCTACTATTTCTATAAAAGTTTAGAAAAAAAAATTATGGACTACAGAGAAGAGTAGACTTGACATTGGCTGTGAAGGATGGGTGGGGCAGGATTAGAATAAGTAGAGAGACTGGTAAGAGTATTTCAGCTAAGGGGAGTTAAAAAGAATCACTTCTTGAAAGAGAGGAGTGTGATTCAGAAACAAATTATTTCCTCTTTTGCTGAATGCTAATCATGATCATAGAATTTTTTTTTAGAAAAAGATGACTTGAAAAATAGAAATAAAACCTTCTAAAGAAATTTTATCATATCTATATAAAATCCTACCATGTTCAAAGAATGGCCTCTCACTTTATATCTTATTTAAATATACAGGTTTCCCTATTTGGATCCACCTAATGAGAGACTTATTTTGGAAGCTCTTAAACAACTTTACCAGTGTGATGCTATTGACAGGTAAAAAAAAAAATCCACAACCAAAACAGATATTGATCTCTTTTTAAACAGGGTTCTAAATACCTTTTTTTAATCAGTAGAAAATAATTCATTTAAATTGAATGGATTGTTTTACTTCAAGTCAGAAATTGTCCTTAGTCTTTCATCACAATTCTGATTGAAAAACTACATGAGAAAACCCCTTTTGTTTACTAAATATTGGTATCATTTAGCAAGTAATTTCTGAGTACATTTCAATGCCAAGCATTATGCTGGATACATAAAAATGATAACAGAGTCAGAGTCCTTGTTTTTATGTTAGTGTAATGGGGTAAGATTTGATTTTAATAATTATTATGCTCTCAGCTTAATGTGTGGTGGCTCACGCCTGTAATTCAAGCACTTTGGGAGGCCAAGGTGGGTGGATTGCTTGAGCTCAGTTGTTTGAGACCAGCCTGGGAAACCCATCTACTCGCTACTCTTTACTTTCAGTAGAGAGTAAAACCCATCTCTACTGGAAATACAAAAATTAGCTGGTTGTGGCAGCACAGGCCAGTAGTCCCAGCTACTTGGGAAGCTGAGGTGGGAGGATTTCTTGAGCTTGGGAGGCAGGGGTTGCAGTAAGCTTAGGAGATTGTGCCATTGCACTCCAGCCTGGGGAACAGAGCAAGACCCTGTCTCCAAAAAAAAATTAAAATTAAAAAAATAACATTATTACTGTCTCATGTTTTCAGAGACATCCTCTTTTTTTTTTGAGACGGGTTTTGCTCTTGTTGCCCAGGCTGCAGTGCAATGGTATGATCTCAGCTCACTGCAATCTCTGCCTCCTAGGTTCAAGCGATTCAGCTGCCTCAGCCTCTCAAGTAGCTGGGATTACAGGCATACAACACCACGCCCAGCTAATTTTTTTCTATTTTGGTAGCGACAGGATTTCACCATGTTAGTCAGACTGGTCTCGAACTTCTGACCTCAGGTGATCCACCTGCCTCGGCCTCCCAAAGTGCTGGGATTACAGGCGTGAACCACCACACGAGGCCCCTCTGTGTTTTTGTAACATGTTTATGTCTTTTATTATATTTCTTTATTCTGCCTCATTATTTAGTTTTTGGATGTATTATGGCTTTTGACAATAGGGATTTAATCTTCATGTTTCTCTTAGCAATAACTACAGTATTTAATTTTGGGGTTGTTTTTTTTTTTTTTGAGATGGAGTCTGGCTTTGTTGTTCAGGCTGGAGTGCAACGGCATGATCTCAGCTCACTGCAACTCTGCCTCCCAGGTTTAAGTGATTTCTCCTGCCTCAGCCTCCTGAGTAGCAGGGACTACAGGCTCATGCCACCAAACCCAGCTAATTTTTGTGGTTTTAGTAGGAACGGAGTTTCGCCCTTTTGGACAGGCTGGTCTTGAACTCCTTGACCTCAGGCGATCTGCCTGCCTCAGCTTCCCAAAGTGCTGGGATTACAGGTGTGAGCCACCATGCCTGTCCTAAGTTTTCTTATACCGTATTGTATTGAATTTCTGGAGGTGGTTTGAGGTAATATAAATTATATCTGATTTATTCTGAATGATGAATTTTACATTTGCGCTCTCCCATTGTAGAAAGACTTAAAAACTTTTTCTTTGTATTAAGGAGTGGCCATGTGACCAGATTGGGTTTGTCTATGGTGGAGTTTCCTTTGCCTCCACATCTGACATGTGCGGTAATAAAAGCTGCTTCCCTGGATTGTGAAGATCTACTACTTCCAATAGCAGCAATGTTGTCTGTGGAAAACGTCTTCATTAGACCTGGTAAGATGTTTATTTTGAGTTGTGTTTTTTAAAACTAATAGACTTTACTTTTTAGAGCATTTGTAAGTTTACAGAAAAATTTAGTAGAAAGTCCAGAGGGTTCACATTAATCCCCTCAACCTCCCGCAGCAATTTCTCTTATTAACGTCTTTCATTTGTATGACACATAAGTTGCAGTTGGTGAGCCAATATTGATACATTATTATTAACTAAAGTGATCACTCTTTGTGTTGTATATTCTATGGTTTTTGACAAATGCCTAATGACACATAGGTACCATTACAGTATCATACAGAATAATTTCACTGCTTTAAACATTCCTTGTGCCTTGCTCATTCATCTCTCTTACTTTCCTTCTTATGTACCCCTGGCAACCCCTATATCCCTTCCTACAAACACATTGATCTCTTTCCTTTCTTCATAGTTTTTCCTTTTCCAAAATGCCATATAGTTAAAAGCATACCGTATGTAACCTTTTCAGGTTGGCTTCTTTCACTTAGCGATATACATTTAAGTTTCCCTCATTTCTTTTTGTGGCATGATAGCTCATTTCTTTTTATTGCTGAATAGTATTCCATTGTATGGAATACGTTTATTCACTCATTATTAAAGGACACGTTGGTTGCTTTTTCATGTTTTGGCAATTACAAATAAACCTGCTGTAAATATCCATGTACAGGTTTTTCTGTAGACATAGTTTTCAAATCATCGCTGGATCATATAAGAATATGTTTTTTTTGTTTTTTTTGTTTTTTTTTTTGAGACGGAGTTTCACTCGTTACCCAGGCTGGAGCGCGATCTCGGCTCACCGCAACCTCCGCCTCCTGGGTCCAGGCAATTCTCCTGCCTCAGCCTCCTGAGTAGCTGGGATTACAGGCACGTGCCACCATGCCCAGCTAATTTTTTGTATTTTTTTAGTAGAGACGGGGTTTCACCATGTTGACCAGGATGGTCTCGATCTCTTGATCTCGTGATCCACCTGCCTCGGCCTCCCAAAGTGCTGGGATTACAGGCTTGAGCCACCGCGCCTGGCGAAGAATATGTTTAGTTTTGTAAGAAACTACCAAACTATCTTCCAAAGTGGCTGTGCCATTTTGCATTCCCACTGGCAATGAATCTGAGAGTTCCTTTCGCTTCGAATCCTGGTGGCAGTAATGTTTTGGATTTTGGCCATTCTAATTGATGTGTAGTGTTACCTCTTTATTGTAATTTATAGTTCTCTGATGCCAGAAGACGTTAAGCATCTTTTAATTTGCTTATTTACCATCTGTTTATCCTTTTTTTGATGAAATATCTGTTCAGGTCTTTTTAAATTGGGTTATTGTTAAGAAGTCTTTGCATATTTTAAATAGTTCATTAACAGATACACCTTTTATAAATATTTTCTCCCAGTCTGTGGGTTATCTTCTAATTGTTTTGACATTGTCTTTTGCAGAGTAGAAGTTTTTATTTTCTATGAAGTCTACCTTATCAATTATTTCTTTCATAGATCACGTCTTTTTTGTTGTGTCTAAAAAAGTCGTTGTCGTACCCAAAGTCATCTAGATTTTTCTCTTTTGTCTTTTAGTATTTGTATATACAGTTGTGGTACTATTTGTTTAAAATACTAGCCTTTTTCTGTTGAAATGCCTTTGCTCCTTTGTTAAATATCAGTTGACTATATTTATATGGGTCTGTTTCTTGGCTCTGTATCTTGTTCCATTTATCTGTATGTCTAGTCTTCCACCAATACTACACTGTCCTGGTTATTGGAGCTTTATAATAACTCTTGAATTTTTTTTTTCCTCTTCAAGATTGTTTAGCTGTTCTGGGTCTTTCTCATATAAACTTTAGTACCAGTCTGTTGAAATCCACAAAATAACTTTCTGGGATTTTAATTAGGATTGTGTTTTAATTAAGATAGATCAAAATGCAAAGAAATGACATCTTGACACTATTGTCTTCCTATACATGTTCATGGAATATCTCTTCATTTATTTAGATTGCCAATAATTCGCTGAGCATTTACTGAGGGCTTACGGTGCCTTAGCCCTAGGATAGAAAACTAAGGATAAACAAGTTTTGTTGTTGTTGTTACGGAGTTTCACTCTTGTTGCCCAGGCTGGAGTGTAATGGCGCAGTCTTGGCCCACTGCAACCTCCGCCTCCAAGGTTCAAGCAATTCTCCTGTCTCAGTCTCCCAAGCAGTTGGGATTACAGGCGTGTGCCACCACGCCCGGCTAATTTTTTGAGTTTCACCATGTTGATCAGACTGGTCTTAAACTCCTGACCTCAGGTGATTTGTTGGCCTCAGCCTCCCAAAGTGATGGGATTACAGGTGTGAACCACCATACCTAGCCCAAAACTTCATATAAATAGAATTATACACCATCCTTTCTTGTGTCTGGCGTCTTTTGGTCAACATAATGTATGTTAGATTTATTCATATTGTTGTCTGTATCAGTACTTTATTCTTTTTATTGTTGACTAGTATTCCACTTTATGGACATACAGTTGTACATTATCCTGTTGATGGACATTTGAATTGTTTCTTGTTTAGTTCTATTTTTGAGTAAAGTTGTTTTGAACATTGTTGCACAAAAATATACACTTTTGTAGGTGTATATTTTCATTTCTCTTAGATAAGGTAAATGCCTAAGAAAGAAATTGCTGTGCTATTGAGTAGGTGTATGTGCATCTTTAAGAAACTGCCAAACCTTTTCCCTAAATAGTTGTACCATTTAAAAATCCCATCAGCAGTGTTTGAGAGTACAACTTGCACTAAACATCATTCTCAACATTTGGTTTTGCCAATCATTTTTGTTTTACATATTCTATTATGTACCTCTTTGTGGTTTTAATTTGCATTTTCCTGGTAACTAATAATGTTAAGCACTTTTTCGTGTGCTTATTGGCCATTTATCTGTCTTCCTTTGTGATGTGTCTGTTAAAATATTTTTCCCATGTCTTTTTATTTTTGAGACAGAGTCTCACTCTGTCACCCAGCCTGGAGTGAAGTAATGCTATTTGGCTCGCTGCAACCTCTACCTCCTAGGTTCAAGTAATTATCTTACCTCAGCCTCCCTAGTAACTGGGATTACAGGCGCCTGCCACCACACCCAGCTAATTTTTGTATTTTTAGTAGAGATAAGGTTTCGCCATGTTGGCCAGGCTGGTCAAACTACTGACCTCAGGTGATCCACCTGCCTTGGCCTCTCAAAGTGTTGAGATTACAGGGCTAGCCACTGCACCCAGTCCCATGTCTTAAATTAAAAAAAAAAAAACAAAAAAAAAAACTTTAATTTGTGGATTCCTTCTGCCACCTCACATCTACTGTTGAGCCCCTCTTAGGGCAGTTTTCATTTTGTTTCCTGTCCTTGTCAGCTCCAGTGGTCAGTCGGTGATTGGTCAGAGTTTGTACCTAAGCCTTTTAAGCCAGTGATGTTTTCACCTTGAATTGTTGAATCTGTATTTGTGGTTTGGAGACTACTTTTATGGTTGAGGGAGTTGATGAGTTTGTACTCTGTTGGGCCAAGGAGTAGAGGCTCAGACATTCCCCCTTCATTTACTTCTCAGAAGGCACAGCTTTGGGCATGAGAACAGTCTTGTAGAACACCAGAAAGACTATGCTTTTAGCATGTCTCTCTTTGTTTCCTTCACTGATCTCTCCGTTCAGTTTTCCTTCACTGATCTCTCCGTTCTGGTCTATCTCTATTGGTGTCAACCAAGCTGTTAGTCTCCACTAATTGCTAGCTGCTGGCTCTGTTGTTTTTGACAGCACCCAGGGCATAAATTGCTCCCTAGTCTTGATCCAAATAAAGTTGGGCACCTTGGCAGGGGCAGGGTATTGCCAGTCTTTGATAATCCTTTCGTCATCCTCCCCGGAAAATAATCTCTGTGCAATGGAGCAGGAGCTGGAGGGCATAGTGGTGGTGATGGGGGCCTGTTCTTCACTGGCTATTCTATTTGGGTCCTCCCTAAATAGCAGAAGCCTGGGGATGGGGAGGTAGGAGCTGATACTGTGGCTCACTGCATCTTCTTCAGCACAGAGCCTTGTGAGATGCAATGTCTGGATGTTCACTGGCTGCAAACAAACCAACCTGGAATAAGTCTAGGAAACTGGGAGTAGTGGGAACTACCACTGAGCTGCTGAATCCCGTGGAACAATTCTGCAACACAGAGCTGTGGGGAATAGAGGACTGCATAAGCTGTCATTAGCTGTTAGGCTTTGATCTTCCCTACGCAGAAGGATTTAGGAGTCAGGGAAAGGGTGCCGCTTTCAGGATGCCCTGAAGGCTCTCGCATAGCCCTTCCACACACACAGCTGCGGAGGGTGGGGCATTCTTCCTACTGTCCTTACTGAATTCCATAGATTAGGCTTGTGTTAAGCATTTTAATCAATCTGCAGAGACTTTGAATGATTGTCTTTGGTAATTTTGACTAGTTTAATAGATGTCTCTAGAAAAGAAGTTTCACCTGACTTCTCACACTACCATTCCCAATACAGTTGACCCTTGAACACATAGGTTTGAACTGTGCTGGTTACTTATTTGTGGATTTTTTCAATAAATATATTGGGAAAGTTTTCAGAGATTTGTGACAATTTGAAAAAACTCACAGATGAACTGCATAGCCTGGAAATATTTAAAAAAATTTAAGTATGTCATAACATATGTGTATATACTAGTCTTTTATAATTTGCTACCATAAAACATATTGTAAAATGTTAAAAATTATCAAAAATGCATGCAAACACAGACTGCATAGTGCCAGTCATATAAACAAATGTAAAGATACTGTGTTAAAATAAGAACTGCATAAAATTAATTTATAAGTAGTATAGTAGCACATATTGTAATAATTTTGTAGCCAGCTCCTGTCACTGTTGCTCTGAGCTCAAGTGTTGTATCTGCTTAAAACACCACACTATGCTAGTCATCTTTGCGTGAACAGTTCATCTCTCAAGTAAATTTTGTGTTGCAGGAAAAAGTGATCTCTCGGCCAGGAGCAGTGGCTCACACC